TTTCACCTAGACAATTAGGATATTTTATTCATAATTAACAGACACACCATTCCCCCAATTCTGGGATTTCCAAAGTATGGTCTACTATTTTTTGCCTTTTAAAATTACCAAGACTTCATAGGAATTCTGTCCCAGTTATTCGCTTGGGAATTCAGCTTTGAGTAGAAACTATGCGCTCCATATAAAATTAAAGCCACTTATATTAAAAATGTTAAACCGCGATATAAGAACATTCCCGTGGTTCCAACGAGTTTCATGTCAATAACTTTCAAGAGTCAAAGACGATTTCAATGTCGTCCCTAAATCGCAATTTTTATTGGGTCACCCTGTATTATTTATTGACGGTTATTTTATAACATAGTTAACGCAGGGTAAAGTCAACGAAAACTGAATTACATTTTATAAAATAAATGTGGAGTTGATTTCTGAAGTCTACTTTTTTTTGTAATATACTGATTCAGTGATAGCAAGAAAACTCTTAAAGAGGTAGTCGACTGTTAGGCTCATGTTATGACTTTAAATAGTCATGGCTCATGTTATGACTTTCAATAGTCATGGCTCTTGTTTTGACTTTAATTAGTCTAATGAATACGAGACACAGCACTTGTGCAGTGTAATTAGACCCATTTCTGGTCATTACTGTAAATATTGCCATTTTAACATTGTCCCAACGAAAATCAATACTTTATCCTTCTATTTTCGCATCTCTATTTTTGCATCTCTATTGCAGCAATAAATGTCAGAAAAGTCAATTCAAGAGAATAGATGCAGTATTTTTCTCTCAGAGTTTTGCCTTGTCTCGACCTAATGCAACTCTAAAACAGACTGCTTGCATGCATACAACTATTCAAACAAAATTACCTGTAATTTAAATAAATGTTGTACACAACATTTTCCACAGTAAGACCCTGCCATCTGCATAACATTATTATGTGTATTTTATTGTAATAAAACAATTAGTTTTACTAGTAGCTTTAAAATCAACACATTACTAAATAACGTGTATTAATAAAACAAAATGATAAGAAATTGTTAAAAAAATCATTCAGTAGCTTTTCTATGTAACTGTACACTGTATGTACACTGAACATTTCCTGTGTTCCATGTAGTTGTACACAATTTTAACATATGTTGAGATGAAAATACACGAATTTTTTCACAAAAACTTCGTAGAGGGGGTGGTTAATTTACTTAATTGTCCCAAGGGACGTTAAGTAACTTAACCCTCTTCTGTTTGGGGGAATCATAGGTCGGTAATGTTGGTCAAAATGGGGTAAAATCATAACTTAATTCTAACAATCGTCTTCCTTTTCTATAATTTTATGGGTTGCATGTGACAATTTTGAAGACTTACAGATTATAAGCAATCCAAGATTCCAGGCAACGAAGGAGCTTAACACTTGCCTTAACCTCAAGTTTTCTAATCCTTATAACTTTGTAACCTGGTTTTTTAAACATTTGATATTTAAAACTTTGGCAGTTAGTTTGGTCCAGGATCATTCATAGTATGAAATATAAAAAGTCTACGGTATAAAGGTTGCAAAGATATATTTGAAAAAGACAGTCTGTGGCAAGCGTTAAGATCCTTCAAGCCAGATTTGTTCTACGCACCTTGATCCTGTGGAATAGGTAGAAGACATTAAAGCAATAATTAAGTGTATTTTCTTTCTGTTGCTTGCTATAATCCTATATTAGTTAAAATAGTAAGTTCACTTTTTATGTGAAATAGATCTGTTTACTCTGCACAATTTCATGTTCCTTGGACTATTTACAGTCACAACTTGAGTCTAAAAGGCGTATATACATATTCCAGTGTTTTATGTATATAATATAAATAATAAAATATTAAAATATCCAATCATGATTCAATAAATATTCAATAATTTGTTGGCGGTAGATAAATTGGAAAATTAGAATTCTCAAGTTGAAGAATATTGAATATTGTATTATAATCTAAAGCCTCGATTCAATTTTCAAACTGCAGACGTGTCTCAAGGTTCTTAGCCATGCCCCGGGGATTTAAACCGTTTAAAAAGAGGGGCTGCCTGCATCGCCATACCAAGGTACCCTTAAATCATTATATCATCAATAAAGTGAATGATACCGTCGTTTTGAAAAGTATTTAATTCTGAAAATTTGACCGGGCATTGTTGTTTCTCTAAGAAAAAAACCGCTTTAAAGAGAAACTCCAATTGCAAATAATAAAATTCTCAAAAAGAAACATGGATGAATATCGGATAGTTCATTTATTCCTGATCAAACAAAGGTTTTAAAGGTACTATTGTGAATCCAATTTTCCCTTCTATAAATGAAAGGTCTCTTGAAATTACTCTTACAGTCCCTTTAAACCATTCTCATTCCTTACTCAATCTGTATCCATGATATCAAATACATAACTTTCACTCTGAGCATGCTTAGCAAATCTTTAGACTATTTATAACTATTCTTAATCAATTTTCAATAGATATATTAACAAATGTTACTTAAGCTATCCGAACTTAATTCTTTACACACCTAGTTCAACTCTAATGATCTAATTTCCACTTTTTCCCCATCCATACTTTCTCAATTCAACCATTCTCAATCCATTTCTCCCCATTTCATACTTTCTTATCCCAACCCTTCTCAGTCGATTTCTCCTCATTCATGACTTTCTTTTCTCCCCATCCATATACTTGTCTTAACCCAACCTTTTTTAGTCGATTACTCCTCATTCATGACTTTTTTTTCTCCCCATCCATACTTGTCTTAAACCAACCTTTTTCTGTCGATTTCTCCTCATTCATGACTTTCTTTTCTACCCATCCACACTTGTCTTAACCCAACCTTTTTCAGTCGATTTCTGCTCATTCATGACTTTTTTTCTCCCCATCCATACTTTCTTAATCCATTTCACTCCATCCATACTTTATTAATCCAACCTTTCTCAATCCATTTCACTCCAACCATACTTTCTTACAATCTATCCTTTCTCATTCTATTCTTTCTAAACACATCCTTTCTAAATCAATTCTTTCTCAATCCATCCTTTCTCAATCTATCCTTTCTCAATCTATATTTTTTCAATATATCCTTTCTCAATCTATATTTTTTCAATATATCCTTACTCAATCTATCCTTTCTCAATTTATCCTATCTCAATTTATTCTTTCTCAATCTATATTTTCTCAAACTATCCTTTATCAATTTATCCTGTCTCAAACGATCATTTATCAATCTATCCTTTCTCAATCTATCCTTTATCAATCTATCCTTTCGCAATATATCCTCTCTCAATCTATCCTTTCAATCTATTCTTTCTCAATCTATCCCTTTTCAATCGATCCTATCTCAATTTATCCTTTTTTAAATCCACCCTTTCTCAATCTATCTTCTCTCATCCATCTTTTCTCAAAACATCTTATCTCAATCGATTCTTTCACAAATCACGATCCATCATTTCTCAATCCATCCTTTCCCTGTAATCCATTCTTTTTCAATCCATCATTTCTCAACCTATCCTTTCCATCATCAATATGTCATTTTTACTCCATCCATCCATCGTACACAAATTTATTTTCTGTATCCCTAATTTTTCTATCCATATTGTATTAACAATAAATAAGTCTAACAATCAATTGAACTATTGCTTTTGGGCAGACAATTAAAAGTGATACTATCCTGTTTGAACTATTGTTCATTTGAACTATTGTTCATTTTAATTTTTGTTCATTTGAACTATTATTCATTCGAACTGTTGTTCATTTGAACTATTGTTCATTTGAACTGTTGTTCAATTGAAATGCATGTTGTTCATTTGAACTGCTGCACGTGGTACCACGTGAGTCAAACAACCAATATATAACGAGTTTGTTTCATACTCATTTGAACTATTTTTTGTTTATTTGAACTACTGTTCATTTGAACTATTAACACAACAGTTCAAATGACCAAAAATAGGTTCAAATAAACCAAAAATTGGTTCAAGTAAACAAAAAATTACTTCAAATGAACAAAAAATAGTTCAAATGAACAAAAAATAGTTCAAATGAACAAAAAAAATAGACCAAAGGTTTAAAAAAGTTTTAAATGTTTTTAGGAGTCTAAATGAAATATTGTTCTATATATATAGGAACCAACAAAAATGCCTAAACATATATTTTTTGATTCATTTGAACTAATAGCCGCAGCTATATTTAGTTCAATTGAATCAAATTTGGTTCAAAATGAACAATAGTTCAAATGAACAATAGTTCAAATGAACAATAGTTCAAATGAACAATAGTTCAAATTAACAATAGTCCAAATGAACATTATAGTTCAAATGAACAAGTTCAAATGAACAATAGTTCAAATGAACAATAGTTCAAATGACCAATACTTCAAACGAACAATAGTCCAAACGGTAGTAGTTCACGAACAAATTAATTGATATAGAATTTAGTAAATCTAGTAACTCGACAAAAACTGACACGAAATGACGACATTTAGAGATCTAGAGAGAACTAAATTAGAAGGAGTTGCTGCCTTAAACTTCTTCATAGTTGCATATAGTCCATTTTTATCAGTCTCCCTCTAAAATTAAATTTAATACTAAAAAAATAATGTAGTACCCCAAAAATAAGAAAAAACTCGAACTTGTCGGTAAAAAGAATTTAAATTCCACGTCACTTCCTAATAACCGACAACTATTGTGTACAGAAATATACTGCGACTGACAACCGACTAAGCTATCTAAAGTATCATTTCGTATTTTGTTGGTTTACAGAAGCTTATAAACCGGTAGACACACGTCTGCAGTGTTGGAATTAGTCCGTCTGCAATTTTTGGTTCAATTCTAATTTAGATGCCAAGAATGTAAGAGTATGAGCGCTTTCACTTTCAACTTTTCATTATATTTATTTTTATTTACTCACAGAATTATCTCATATCATTTCACTATGTTTAGACCTATTTTATTCATGTGTTAAACTGAAGCAATTTTTCACAATTATTGTTGTATCATAAAATTGTTTTTTTTTCAGATCTCACATTAAACCATTTCAAAATGAAGTTGTTCTCCATCAAAGGAGTTTTATTACTCTTCTTTATTTCTCAGGTAGGTTTTAATATTTAGAATTAACATTACATTATGTAAAATGTCAATTTAGTTCGCATTTAACCCCCCCCCCCCTATTTTTTTTTTACTTTAGGGGTAGATCTTAAAAGGATAAATTTATTTACTGGTTAAGCACTGTCCCATTATTTTTGTTCATACTAGATTTCATTTTATCGATGGGGGGCATTGGACGGAATATATTGTTATCATTATTTTTTCTACCCGAAACCTGATTATTGTAACATTTGTATGATCAGTTCGGACACTTCATTGTTGTAGTTATAATTTATATTTATTCTGACTCAGAAGGCCGGTAATTTCCTAAGAGAAGGATTGGTCTGTCCTAGATAATAGATAATAGTTTTTATTAAGGTTAGGTTAAGACAAATACTTGGCCGCGCGCTGCGGCTATGTCAGGCTATGGGGTTAAAATCGTATACTAGGATCGACCCCACTCCCAGTCCCACCAGCCTGTCCGAGTCGGGGCGTTCGGCCCAGTTATTTTATGTACATTTTTTTACGAAGAGAGGGGGGGGGGCCAGAAATCTTTCTCTATGATTGAGGCCGGTATGCCTTCCATCAGAACCAAACAAATGGTGAAAACAATTTGAGACCGTTGTCTGGGATATAATCTCATGATCTTGTATTGATAAGTTGAAGTACCTTATGATGTTTAGTGTTTGGTTTCTCGTGTAGCCGTGTGTGAGGAGGATGAGCTGGATGAGGAGGAGGAGGAGGGAGCAGTGGAGGAGGAGGGCGGTGAGCTACCTGTAGAGGAGGAAGAGGCCTCTGACAAAACTACGTCACCTGATGCTGACACGATTATTTTGTTCACCAAACCTCCGGGAACTACTAACTTAGGTAAGAATTTAGGCAAAACAATTCTCAAATTATGTAAGAATTGTAAGTAAAGAAATCTAATTAAAATCACAATTTCCTATGTACACTACTAAACTGAATCAACAAATTGAATTTTAATTTCATGGCTTCTATATATGTTCTTAATTCTTACTTGATAATTGTGCTTTTTTCAGTGGATTGTTTCATTCAAATTCGCCCCAGAAATATTAAAGTTTTCCAAGCAGACTATCGGATTTTAAGTATAAAGTTCCCATGATATGATTGGTTTGGGTAAATGGTTTTGTGGAAAAATAGATTAATCTTGAGATTTAAGGAAAAAGACCAAAAAAGTTTTATAATTAATTTATTATTTTTAACTAATATTGTTTGGGTTCGGACTAGGCAACTTATTTAGGAAAAATAAAAATAAAAATGGTTGTTTTCATTTATTACAATTATTTGTAATCTAAATATTTTTTAGAGTTGCCCGCCGGTCAGATTACGGAATTCCTGGTCGGGTTCACTAACAAGGGAGATCAGGAAATGGTCCTGGACCACGTCGAAGCATCCCTCAGATACCCCATGGACTTCACCTACCACATCCAGAACTTCTCCGCCATTGCCTATAACAAGGTCGTCAAATCTAAGCAGGAGGCGACTGTCGCTTACTCCTTCATTCCTGCCGACGCATTCGCCGGTCGCCCCATCGGTCTTGTGATCAACCTGCAGTACAGAGACAGCTTCGGAAACATGTTCATTGATCCCGTGTTCAATGAGACTGTACAGATTGTTGAGTTTGATGAAGGGTTTGACACTGAGACCTTTTTCATGTATATCACCCTGGGAGGAACTGTTGTTCTTCTGCTTTTTCTCGGCTACAACTATATTGCAGGTTAATATTTTAAAGTTTTTTCATTTTCATCCTATGTCACCCAAGGTTACCCATGGATATCCATTCAGTTCAGCCGTTTGGCCAGCTTTAGCATACATTTAAAAATATAATATATATATTATCAATTTATTATTCAATCAAAAAACAGATACACAATATTTCATACACAATCTTTCATGGACCAATCTTCAGTGAGGTCTGTTCTCGACTCTTTATATATTGATATATAGACATATAGACATATAGACATATAGACATATA